AATTGCATTGTCTTATTTCAAGTGCATTTTATCTAAATATCTTATTTTAAGAGTAAAAATACTCATTCCATTGGCAAATCATCTCATTTACCTACACAATTCAAGGGTAAATACACTTAATCTAAGACATTTTTACTTATTTCTTGATCATTTTCCCAGTGAGAGTAAAGAAAATATGCGAGCCCATGAGACGGCCAGTGGCTGGAAGTTAGAGGGGATTCTGCTGGGAGTCGCAGGGCAGTGGGCTGCCACCAGATTGTTACTTTAGATAAAGAATTAGTTTTTTTCAGCAGTAGCAGATCCCCCCTGAGAGATATTTTAGTGATGCTACGATCAATAACTGAATATTTGCCTGTTAATTCATCCTGCGTACCTATTTTATAGTTAATATGTAATTACACTGACATGAGCAATTATTGCTCCTTGTCAGATGTTTGCATGAGCAATAGTTAATCAAGAATCTATGCTGTCTCTATGGACCCATCATAACGTTTTGGGTTGAGACAATGTGCAGAAAACACACAAACACAATAGAGAAAATGAAAAACCCATCGTAGAGAAATGACCGTCCCAAAGTCTTTAGGACGTTCTTGAGGGAGGAAAAAAAAAAAATGCGAAAAGGAACGCACGAGGAAAATTGTAAACTGTAAAATATCGTTAAAGAAAATATATAGATGGAGTTGTAGCCTGATGCATATTTGAACTTTTTCCTATACATAAACATTGGGTAGATTTTTATATATATTTTTTTTTCCTTCTACAGTCCGAGTTTAAAAAGATAAAGATACCTAGTTCATTGTGGGATCTATGACAATGCAGCTCTACGTCCTTTTAAAGGTTGTTACATGGATGCAAGTTAATGGTAAACTGATGGGAAACAAACGGTTGTTTCTGGAGATTAGTCGCCATGGTTTGTTTTGTTTATTCTGTTAAGATCTCTTAGTTAGATAAAACAGTTCTTACATTCACACCAAACATTTAGCAACATCAAGGCAACAGGAAGTAGGACCAAATTCACTCTGATACAATACATGAAGTAACGACAGGAAAAAGCCATCTACACAGGTTACTCCTGAGTAAATGTAATCTCAACCTTTTACAATGTCAACTGGTTGTGAATCTACAAGATGCTTCTTCAGCCAAAGGTTTCCTCAAAGCAATACTTTATTTTAACCATTTTATTTAATATCTGTTTAACTTGAAGGTTCCAGGTTCTAATTCTATCCTTTCCTCCAAGACGTACTCAATGATTATGCTTCCTGTGGACAGATTGAAACAGGGAAATAAGATCATCCAGTTGCCATAGATTTAGTCATCTCAGCATTAACAGGGTTCCCGCGGGTCCTTAAAAAGTCTTAAAANTGTAATTACACTGACATGAGCAATTATTGCTCCTTGTCAGATGTTTGCATGAGCAATAGTTAATCAAGAATCTATGCTGTCTCTATGGACCCATCATAACGTTTTGGGTTGAGACAATGTGCAGAAAACACACAAACACAATAGAGAAAATGAAAAACCCATCGTAGAGAAATGACCGTCCCAAAGTCTTTAGGACGTTCTTGAGGGAGGAAAAAAAAAAAATGCGAAAAGGAACGCACGAGGAAAATTGTAAACTGTAAAATATCGTTAAAGAAAATATATAGATGGAGTTGTAGCCTGATGCATATTTGAACTTTTTCCTATACATAAACATTGGGTAGATTTTTATATATATTTTTTTTTCCTTCTACAGTCCGAGTTTAAAAAGATAAAGATACCTAGTTCATTGTGGGATCTATGACAATGCAGCTCTACGTCCTTTTAAAGGTTGTTACATGGATGCAAGTTAATGGTAAACTGATGGGAAACAAACGGTTGTTTCTGGAGATTAGTCGCCATGGTTTGTTTTGTTTATTCTGTTAAGATCTCTTAGTTAGATAAAACAGTTCTTACATTCACACCAAACATTTAGCAACATCAAGGCAACAGGAAGTAGGACCAAATTCACTCTGATACAATACATGAAGTAACGACAGGAAAAAGCCATCTACACAGGTTACTCCTGAGTAAATGTAATCTCAACCTTTTACAATGTCAACTGGTTGTGAATCTACAAGATGCTTCTTCAGCCAAAGGTTTCCTCAAAGCAATACTTTATTTTAACCATTTTATTTAATATCTGTTTAACTTGAAGGTTCCAGGTTCTAATTCTATCCTTTCCTCCAAGACGTACTCAATGATTATGCTTCCTGTGGACAGATTGAAACAGGGAAATAAGATCATCCAGTTGCCATAGATTTAGTCATCTCAGCATTAACAGGGTTCCCACGGGTCCTTAAAAAGTCTTAAAAAGTCTTGAATTTAACGTGCCTTATGCTGTAGGAACCCTGATTAATCACCAACTTATTTTAATTTGTCTAATGATCTACAAATTTATTTTCTTTAATTTAATTCCAAAGTAATGTGATTGAACAAATAAATGGTTGAATCATCTGCGTTTAGGACAAAAGTTTAACATTTTGAAATAAAAGGAAAATAATTATTAAAAACAGAACATAACAATGGTCCAAGATGGCCCCACTCCACCAGACAGAGCCTTTAATACAGACTTACTAACTTTAACAAGAACAATAATCTTTAGATTCTCCATGTCGATTGTAGAGCTTTCAAAGCCAAACAAACTCAACTTCTCCAATAGAGAAGCGTAATTTAGTTAAGCAAAGACAACAACTACAGCTAACAATACAATCCTGAAAATAATCTCCTGAATGTTCCTACATTTATCCAATCATCAGTCATCTGAGATAATGTCGTTGTTGTGAAGCGCCCTGTCTTATAAGCATGAGGAAATGGACAAGTATTTATTTATAGTTTTTTTTTTGTCATTTCCTCAAACCTTTTTTTAAATCTTTTTCTGAAGAGTCATGATTTTTGGCAATTTTTTGACAACTGAAATAACCATACATCTGCTTAGTCAGTACCTGAAGGTGTTAAGTTTTATAGAGGTCAAGGCATTTTTTTTACTGCAATTATATCTGGTTTATTAAAACTAAATAGTTTAAATTTGATATTATTTACATAAATAAATCCCCATTTAACCTTCCAATCAGGAGCTGTCGTAACTGTTGCACTTTAAGCTTTTTAATGACTACTTAAAGAAGCCTTTTAAAAGTTTTTACTAAAAAACACCTATAGAATAACCTTTTTATTTCACCCTTTATGGCTACAACGCTGTTTGATGATTAGAATGACACCTCAGTAGTTCGGCATTGCTGCATCTGTAAGGCTGTAGCCTATTTTACTTGAATGCACTTCGGGTCGGAAGTTTCCGCTCTATTCTGTGGAATTGACGTCAGATGCATCCATGTTAAATGGGTCCAATATAGTAAGGAATCCAAGCGTTATAATCAAGATGGATGTTGTGGTTGCTCGAAGGGGACCAGCATCCCATAAGATGAAAAAAGTAAAAACAAAAAAACACAAAAATTGTCAAGGAGTAGCGCAAGCTACCAGCACACGCGGAAGATTGCTGCAGTTCTGGGTTTGTGCCACAGGTGGCAGTATCATTAGAAAACTCCGCAATGCCTCTTTAAATATTTTGCCGTATCTAACGTTTAGGGTACAAAAATCACGTCCCTGGTCAGGACCTAATTTATCGCATTGTGCCGTTACTGCCTTCTGTTGGTGGTGCGCAGGGATTTGAGCTTTTTATTTTTAATCTGGATTTTTTTTTAATTGGTTTTGAGGACCAGAGGGGAACGAACGGCAAAGTCAGGAAGTATCTGGCTAATTTTTTAACACTATACCACGGAGGAAACTCTATTTAAGTCAATGACATGGATTTGGTTTGTTTGGGCAACATCTTTAGCCTAGCCTCACTTTAGTTGTGCTTAGAATCTGGAATTTTGAAGTCAACATTGCCGCCACCTGCTGGTGAAGTAGAAATATGCCAGCTTTTTCTTGTCATGCAAACTTTTTTTTGTTTTTTTTTTCCAGTGCTTATCCTCATTATTGTCCCTCTGCATTTAACCCATCCCCTTAGGGAGCAGAGGGCTGCCATTGTGCAGCGTCACAGGAGCAGTGTGGGGTTAATGGTCATTGCACAGGGACCCAGAGTGGCAGTCTTAAAGCACAATACCCTAACCACTAGGCCACCACCCCCCTTTTTGTATTTAATTTTTTTTACAAAACCCATGAAGAGAATGTTTTGTGTTTTATTTTTTTATGTTGAAGCCAAGTTCTTTTCTTTAAGTAAGAGGTCAGTAAATGTCAGATCTCACATTAAAGAGGAATGAATGCCATGGTCTGCATCAGTGCTCTGTTGATCAATGAATAACTCCGTTCCTGCAGACCTCAGTCGACGTGATTAAGTCAGAGCGGACATGCCGTGGTCTCTGATTCAGTTTAATGTTGTGCATTCATGTTGCACTTGTTCTATTTTTGGCTGGATCATAATTAGTCAGAAAGGGAGTTTTAAAAAGTACGCCCCTGAAAGTGATTGCCGCATAAGGCTGATTGCACACAGAGGCTGAGAGTCAGCTGCTAGCTGCTCTATGACCCCAGCTGGAGCAGACTGCTTGTCACATGGCCTCCCTTATTCATGGGATCTGTCACACCCAGCGGATGAATCAAGCTGCACGCTCACTGGACATAAACTGAATGACGGTGTGTCCGCGACAGCTTTGTCACAAGGTTGTCAGGCCACCTTCTGGTGGCTTCAGGGGAAGGAAAAAACCCAAACCTCCGATGCCTTTGTTTTGTCTTCTTTGTAGTTTTCCAAGTTATTTCAGTCCTTCATTAAATCTCATCGGTGTGTCATTCCATATCAGCATCTGACTCTGTGAAGCACCTTAAGGCTCTTTTCCCACACTCTGAATCCACCTTTTCTCTAGCTCAGCTTCATGCTGATCACATGTTGACGCCAACGATCAGGATCACACTAAATGGAGATCACAAAATGCTGTCTATACGGGCATGTTTTTGTCCTGTTTCATTAACATTTCTGTGTTTATCTACAGGAATATGAAACAAAGAGTGGCAGAGCTGGCAACCAGACATCCCCCAGGCCGGGTGTGAGGAAAAACCTGGACTTTGAGCCCCTCTCCACCACGGCGCTGATCCTGGAGGACAGACCTGCGTACGTCTCCTAATCCTTCCATTGCACTCATGTCTTCATCATCCAGATCATTAGAGCTTAAAGGAATAGTACACCCAAAACATGATTAGCCTTCATTTTCTACTCACCCCCATGCTGAACAACAC